ACTGGCTGCGCCTGTAATCTCCACTGGCATGAGACAACAAACTCATGAGCCACTGTCCCAGGCCCATCTTTGGTGACTGTGAGTGTCTGGAACCCTAGTTCCTTGTCAAAACCCTACATCACAGGGACGGAGCCAGGTAAGACTGCAGCCCATATCAGTGATCTCTATCACTGCACCAGGGTCTCCAGGCCCAACTTGTGTCCTTGTGTGTGGAGGTGTATGTGTGTGTGTGGTGGGGGGCGAGAATAAGTGCACATGAGTGAAGGTGTGTTGTGGAATATTATTTTAAGATGTGTTACATTCGTTTATGCTGTGGAATATTTATTTAATGATGCAAAGATGTGCTGCATTCTCTTATGTTGCATGTTTAACTCTGTAAAGCTGTGTTACTTTGCTTGCCTAGAACACATGATTGGTCTAATAAAGAGCTAACTGGCCAATAGCTAAGCAGGAGAGGGATAGGTGGGGCTGCCAGGCAGAGAGAATAAAGAGAAGGAGAAGGGAAGAGCAAAAAAAGGAGAAGAGGAAGATGACAGGGGCCAGCTACCCAGCCAGCCCCAAGGTAAGAAGGAAAGAAAGGTATATAGAATAGAGAAAGGTAAAAGCCCAGAGGCAAAAGGTAGATGGAATAATTTAAGTTAAGAAACGCTGGCTAGAAATAAGCCAAGCCAAGGCCGGGCATTCATAAGTAATAAGTTTCCATGTATTTATCTGGGAGCTGGGTGGCGGGCCCCCAAAGAGTAAAACAAAACAAAACCCAACTACAAAGGTGTCTATAGGGGCCCGTGGTATCTGATTCCCTGGGACTGGAGGTACATGTGACTGTGAGCTGTCTAGTATGTGTGCTCTGAAGTGAACCTGGATCCTCGAAAGAACCAAAAGCATTCTTAGCCACTGAGCATCTCTTTGACTCTGACATCCCTAAGCAATTATTAACTGTACTTCACCAACGTCATTTTTTTTTTAAAAAAAGATGTCTTTATTTAATGTATTTTGGAGTTTTGCCTGCATGTGTATCTATATGAGGGTGTCAGATCACCTGGAACTGGAATTACAGATAGTTGTGAACTACCATGTGGTTGCTGGGAATTGAACCTGGGTCCTTTGGAAGAACAGTCGGTGCTCTTAACCCCTGAGCCATCTCTCCAGCCCCATTCTATCAACTTCTTGATAACATGATTCTATGACCTTTTCAAAGACAGAACAATAAAAAAGACTCCAAGTTGGTTTTTCAAACTAAAATGCTTGGGAGGCTTTGGAGTGCATTGTGGCAATACAGTACACACTACAATTTCCTCCCCAGGTCTGTTCCACAGTTATGAGTTAGTGTGCACATCTGCAGTTAAAGAAGATGATGTGCACACACACTGACTTCCACACCACACAACGCTCTAGATCGAGGATCATCAGTGAAATAAGATGATGTGCATACACACTGACTTCCACACCACACAACGCTCTAGATCGAGGATCATCAAACCACTGCCTACTTTTGTAAACAAAATTTATTGGAATAATCCTCTGTTCTCATCCACTGCAACTTTGTGGCCACATGAAAAAAGGGACAAGATCCAATAGAGACCACAGAACTCTAAGGCAGTCTTTGACCACATGCAGAAAGTTTTGAGGATCTTAGCTCCTAGAGATGGTGGTCAAGTGTGTCTCTCTCTGCAGGGTTGAGTCAGCTCAGGGCATGAGGCCTTCCCAAAGAGCCACAACAGTCCATGGCCTGGCATGGGCACCCTGGAAGGTGAGCTCTGCTCTTGTGACCCAGCATTCTTTTGGTAATGGTGCCTTTGGTTCTATTTTTAAAAAGCTTCAGCCTCGAGCCGGGTGGTGGTGGCGCATACCTTTAATCCCAGCACTCGGGAGGCAGAGCTAGGCGGATCTCTGTGAGTTCGAGGCCAGCCTGGTCTACAGAGTAAGATCCAGGACAGGTACCAAAGCTACACAGAGAAACCCTGTCTCAAAAAAACAAAAAAAAAAAAAAAAAAAAAAACAACAACACCCACAGCGTCATAGAGAGCGCCCCCCGCAAAAAAAACCCGTTTGGTTTCCAGCACCCACATGGTGGCTCACAACCTTGTGGAACTCCAGTTCTAGGGGATCCAATGCCCTCTTCTGATCTCTGTGGCCACTGCACACATGTAGTGTACTTACAGACATGCAGGCAAAACACTCATAAACATAAAATAAATCTTTTTTTTAAAGCACCAGCCACAACTCACTGGTATGCACTGTACATACTCTGCCCCTTGAATTTTTATTGTTGGAAAATCTTGAAAGTGACTTCAGGATGTGCCCCTGCCTCTACTCAGTATGGGAATGGACAAGCTGGCCCTGCCTATGCTGCAACTGAGGCCCTCACACCCAGCTCCTCACAGTCCCTGGCTCCTTGCAGCTTAAGAAATATTCAAGGCCCCATGTGGAACCATCTAGCAAAAATGGACAATCTAAGGAGGTCGTAGGGACAGGGAAGAGACAGCATGGAGGTGTCCCGGCTCCCTGCTCTTCCCCTGCCCATCTCCTTGCCTAGATGCACCTGTGGTTTCTCAGCCACCCAAATGTCCTCCTCCTCAGTGAGTGAGTAAGTACATCTCTACATGATCTTCAACTACATTTATAAGTGCATCACAGCAGGGCCAGCAGGAATCTGAGTCTCCTCTTCCTCTGGGGAAAAACATCCAGCATCCCTGTCATACAGCGTTGTCCCCAAGTCCCCTCTGTGCGACAAGCCACTCAGGGTGTGCCAGGTAGCACGTATGGTAGACAAAACATCTTTTACTTATTTACATAATCCCTCTCCAGGGATATTTCTCTGATTAATCTGGCTCCAGTTTTGATGAGAGTAACGCCTCCTATTTTGTACTTGTATGTGAACATCACACACAAAAATGGCTTGTTTACTGGTAGATTCTGGGGTCTTCTGAGGACTCTGTAAAGCCTTCTGCAAAGGGAAACATTTGCTAGAATGATAGCTCCCAAGATTGCACACTGAGAGTTCGTGCACCTCTGTGCATGCGTGTGTGTGCGCGCGTGTGCGTGTGCGTGTGCGTGTGCGTGTGCGTGTGTGTGTGTGTGTGTGTGTGTGTGTATGCTCATGCACATGTGTTCAGGGCGGAGGCATGATGGTACAAGGGAACTGACTCTGGGTCACTCCTGGGGACCAGAGCAAGTCTGACCCCAATTGACAAGAGTGTTTGGTCTTGTCATCTCAATTGGTCTCAACAGGCAAAGGCAGACAAGTTCCCAGGCAAGAATGTAGCTTGCCATCCTCTTCCACCACCCCAGCTCTGGCTCTCACAAGGTGCCTGGCAAGTTCTAGAACAGAAGGGAAACCTGTGCAGGGTATTCAGAAGCCCATGGACCCAAGACACAATAACATCCCCATAAAAGCCCTGATGTTTCCAGTTGTGCAGAACAAGGGAACATTACAGACTCGGGTAGAAGTGAACCTTGAGTGGGAGCCCAGCAGGAGCCTCTTAAAAGATAGTCATGGGCATAAAGAATGGTGCATCTGTGTAACCGGATCTCCCCACAGAGAGAACTCCGCTTACTTACCTAGGCACACAACTTCTTAATTTGAGTTAGAGAGCTTTACAGGTATCAGCCACCTCCTTGATGTGCTAGATCAACAGAATTCTGAGGAGAGTCTGAGATTCTGGCACCAGACTGTGTGTTGGACAGCGTGACAGGGCTGAGTACAGGCGGACATGGAAGGCAGGGTGGATCAGGAGCTGAGAGCCAATAGTGGCTGCTTCCTGAAACATCTGGAAGAAGTCAGTGGGCTGTGCCAGGGGTGCTGGGCCACCAGACCCTGGAAAAGGCCCCAGGTTCTGCCCTGAGTGACTAGGTGAACCTTTGCATGTAAGAAGTCCCAATGACCAAAGAGTAGCTACAATTCCAGTTCGTTTCTTCAGTGTCCAAAAGGTGAAGGCACACTACCAGGTATGTGCCCATCAGTGAACATGACAGGGATCTCGAGGCTAGTCTGTGTAAAGCCTAGTGCAGGAAGAGCCATGGAACAGGAAGATGTGGAAAGAGGAGACTGATGCACCTCTGAGCAAAGGGTTGAATTCCAACTGTCTGGGGGCTGCAGTTCAAGCCCCCACTGCTCCTTCCACCCTTACAAACATGTTTGGATCATAAAGGTGAACAGTATGACCGGTGACCTTGAAGGGACTTGTTTGAGTCACTGGAGAAAGTATGGCTGGACAGGGAGAAAGGACATCCTAAACCCTGTCCCTAGGCAAGAAAAGGCTCAGGGAATTCGATGCCATTTGGCACGCATGTGTGCATGCACGCGCACACACAAACACACACACACACAAGCACACACACTCAGGCACACACACACACAGGCACATGGACACACACAGGCACACAGATACACACACACAGGCACATGGACACACACAGGCACACAGACACACACACACAGGTACACGGACACACACAGGCACACGGACACACAGGTACACGCACACACACAGGCACACGGACACACAGGCACACGGGGACACACACACAGGCACACACACACCAGCCTCACCTGGGTCTGAGACGGCCTGAAGGCAGCATCAAAGCTGCTCTGCAGCGAGTCCAGGAAGGGCTGGACCTTGTAGAGCCCATGCGTGGTCTGGCTGGAACGGAAGGCCACCACATGGAAGTACTTGAGGATCTTCTCGAAGCGGGCCTGGCTCATGACGAGGGCGAGGCTCCGGTTGCTATAGAAGCCTCCACTCCAAATGCTGAGTACCGACTCACAGTGCGAGACGCTGGTAGATATCACATAGCCCAGGAAGGCCTTCATCTCGGCCAATGTCACCTCCACCCAGGCGCCATCACTGCCAAAGCGTTCCTGGAACTTCCTGGCATACATGTTGGTCTGTACTACCATGTTCTTGAGCACGTTGTCCGGAACAAAAAGCTGAAAGAAGTCCACTGCACTAGCGCTGGGAGGCATCTTTCTGATTGGACCTGAAACCCAAAGACAGGCCAAGTATTCACTCCCAAAGTCACCACCACCTGATAGGAACCAAGTCTTCCTGGCCTTGGGCCTCAGGACAGCAACCCTGTCTGGCCTCCCTTCCCTCCTGCATCTGACACCTTGCCCATTGGAGGCCATAGGCCTGCTCTCCCATCCCCTGGACCTCTCATCACTCAGATGCTCCTCTCTTGTCTCCCAGAATACAGGCATCATTCCCACCTTTCTTCCAAACCTGTCTCCCATAGCCCACACCCTTCTGTTCTGTTCCTTTCATCCCTGACCTCCTGTCCCCTGGCCCTCCTGCTGCCCGACCCATCACACCTAGGCTGTCCCCATATTCACCCTATAGGACGTCGGTGGCAATACTCTTTCAAGAATCTAGCCAAACAAGAGTCCTGCCAGATGCAGTCCACCCAGTGAAGACAGGTCGAGGAGAGAGACACGGAGGGCAGGGGGCACACACAGTTCCACCGTCACTCTCCGGCTTGTACTGTGGAAGGTATGGGGACCCCGTAACTATAATGCTTCCGCTGCAGACAGCAGAGAGCAAACGTTACTAAGGATTCTCACAGAATTGGAAACTACTGGTGGAGTAATTCAAAGGGAGTAATGTAAGAAGACAGCTGGGAGACGAGCCTCACAAATTTTAACTGATACAGCTTCTTTGCACATGTACACACCACACACACACACACACACACACACACACACGACTCTTCAACTTACTATAACATTCTCATCATGAACGAAAAACATCTTAAGTGGAAAATGCTTGTGCCATCCTAACCAGATTGCTCTAATTCACTGCAAAGTATCAGCTGCTCCCCTCACAATGGCAACTGACTGGGGAGCCATAGCTCAACATCACTGCTTCAAACCTCAGGAGAATTATCAGCTGACATAATGCCAGCCAGAGAAAAGATCCGAGTTTAAAATGCAAATATAGTTCCTACTCAAATACACCACTGCTTTTGCATTACCCTAAAGTCAAGAACTCTTAAACTGAGGTCTCTCCCTCTGTGGGTGTGTGAGTGCATGTGTATATGTGTGTGCATGTGTGTTGTGTTTAGATGATTCTTAGGAGCCACTGATTTCAATTCTATTAAGCAGGCTTGAAGCAGCATGCTCTGATTTGTAGGACTCAAGCTTTCTTTTGCATCTGTATGGCAATTTTTAATAAAAACCGTGTGGATTCTCCAGAGTTTCAAAGGCCTTCCTTTCCCACCAGCTTGTTCAGTCTGTGAAAAACTAAGCTGGTCACAGCAAAACAAAGACCAATAAAGCCAATGAGACAGTTGGGATTTTGAGCAGTGGCCAGATCCAGGGATGCAACTACCTACATTTTTTCCGCATTATGTGTGTGTGTGTGTGTGTGTGTGTGTGTGTGTGTGTGTGTGTGTGTGTATGCGTGTGTGTCTGTGGATGTTTCCATGTGTATGGGTACATGCAGGAGCGCACATACACCTGTGCAGGCGCACATGCAAATGGAAGCCCAAGGTTGAAATTGTGAATCTTCAATCATTCATTTCCATATTATTCATTGAGATAGTTTCTTAACCAAACCCAGAGCTCACTGATAAGGAACCAAACTCTAATCCTCACACTTGCGTGGTAAGCACTTCAACTACCTCCCTAGCCCGATTCCTTAAAATTCAGTTCACTGTACATCAGATCTGCCACTTGCTCACAGCTCTACTGTTCTCTCTGTAGAATAGACTGAGTGAAGTCAGCTTCGAAAGACTGTCTACAAAGTAAAATGAACAAGGCCACATACCAGATTCCCCAACACAACACTGGCAGGAAGAGACAAACCCAAGGAAATCACTGAGGACTTTGCAAAGCAAATCCTGTTTTCATTTTCAGTCCACCTGGACAGCAGGGTAGCTACTGCATCCACTGTCCTCAGCCACACCGTAGGAAGGTAGCCTAGCTAGCACCAGTGCCCCAAACTGACCCAGGAAGCAGTCCAGTTGGCATGGGAATGCTGAAACACCGGGCTATGTTTACTGGTGTTCCATAACTGCCCTGGTGAGCATCTCAGCATTTCAGTAGGCCTGGCAGCCTCCTGTGGGTGGAGCCATCAATTATTCAGAATGGCGATCAGCAACGGGGAAGGCCAGCATCGTAACTGCTGCATCATGCTGACTGAGAGGCGTGGAATTTTTCTCCTCCTAAAGCTATGTCTAAAGCAGCCTTCCTTCCCATGCATGCCGTTTCTAGATGGAGTCCTAAGGAAGGCCTACTCCAGCCTGCTTCCTGAACAGACGGCAGAGCGGCTGGCTTCCCTGACCTATGCAGATTGACAAGCTCCCTTGTTGGCCTTTCATGGTTGCTGTGATCCCTGCCACTTGGAATTAGGGACATAGGTTGGTTGTCATGAAGAAGGAGGTGAGTGGTTGATCCAGCTCCTACCTACAGCCTCACAGTAAGGCCACTTAGCTTTCTAGCGTGGCCTGTATAACTTGACATCAGCCCCAAGGGGCACCACCCCCATGCAGAGAGAATGTTAGAAGGAGGACATAGCATGTGCTCTCTAAGTGACATAGCTGGATGACTTTGTAGCTCTTCGCGGGACTTGGCCTGCTGTCTGTGGAGATTACTAAGAATGCCACATGCCCCCATGGGCACAACAACCATGTATCTCTCCCCTCCGTGACACCCTCCTGCTGTGGAGTGGAAGGGTGGAGGCACCTAGGGGGATCTAAAGGAAGTCGGGACCTTATGTCACTGCATGCAGGGAGGCCTGGGGCATGGGTGGTGGGAGATCTGGAAGAGGTGTCCTTAGGGTCTAGGGGGAATGGAAGATCTAAGTCCAAAGTCCAGAGCAAAAGTTCACACCACAGGTCACCGTGCTAAGGGCCCGCCTTTATCACCCGGTCCCCTGAGCACGGCTTCCTTCCCCTCACTCTCCCGAGAGCCAATAGGAGCTCAGAAGCCGCACCCGAGCTTCTTCTTTCCGACTTCACAGACTGCCCTCTTTGCACAGGTCCCAGCTCAGACGTGGCTGCCTGTGCCACCCACTCTGACACCTACAAGAAGGCCAACGCCATGGCCCGACGTACGCTTCCTGTCCTCCAAGTTCAGGATGTGGTGTGCCCAACATTTTAGAGGTTAACAAAGGGGAGAATGGGCACCACGCTCCATGAGATGCAAAGGGCATCTTTGCTGAGTCCAGTAGGAAGAATAGAGTGCCTGTGTCACCGCTTGGTGACAGGTTTGGGTCGGCCATGCCCACCATACCTTGAAGGGTGCCACGGAGGACTGACAGGACAAAGAGAGGTTCAGAGCATGTGAGGGAGCCCACCTGAAAAGTCGGGATGTTCTGGGTGTCGGGCAGGAAGTGGTAAAAGCAAAGCCTGCCTGGAGCACAATGGGCCCAGCCTTGTTTTCCCCGCTCTCAGCCTCCTTTCTCCTACTGGGGAAAGCCCCTGGGGAAGGCCCACTCCTGGCCCTCCCCACTCCCCTCTGCCTTCCTCCCGTCTCAAGCACTAAGTCAAAAGCAAATAACACCACCTTTAGTCTCCAAATAGGAGGAGAGCCACAGAGCCTCACACAGGCAGGACCAACCTTGGCTGCAAGTGACCTACTGGGTGGCTCATTCCTCATTCATGCAACACACTTCATGACCGTCAATGTGGGAGTCAATGAACACCCCAAAGGTACAACAAATCCCCAGCACCACTCACTGGACTGGGAAGAGTGTCTTCTTGCATTTCTGGAGCAGCCAAGCTGCCTGGGGTAGAGATGGCCAACAGATACTGTCAACAGTTTTGTGGGGCAGATACTGTCAACAGTTTTGTGGCACAGCTAAAGATCAATTTGTATTTTAAGTGCTGAGTTTAAAATCCTGGAATCACTTTGCTCCAGGCTAAATCAAGTAAGTTCAAAAACCGTAACTAGGATGGCTCACATCACCACAAACTGGCCCTCTCTGGAGACATCAGGAATCTCATTTGGTGAAGGGTGGTGCAGAGAGAGGCCTGAAGCACAGTGTGTGCCTATAATCCCAGCACTTGGGAAACTGAGGCAGGTGGACTACTGTGAGTTCAAGGCTAGCCTAGTTTACATAGCAAGTTATAGTCCAGCCAGGGCTATATAGAGAGTGACACCTTGTCAAGGAAAGGAGAGGAAGGGGAAGGGACATGGAAGGGGGAAGGGGTAGAGAAAGGACAGAGGTGTCCCTGAGGAAATGAGGGGTAGAGGAAGTTAACAGGCTCAAGAACAGGTCTGGCTCTTCCAGCCCAAGCAAAAGGGTAAAGCTCAGACCTCTAACTCAGGCCAGATCCCTGTTTAAACACAGCTCCTCAGCAACAACAAGACTGAGGGAGACGGGAGTGGGGGTGTGGGGGATGGGGGGGTGTAGGGGGGGGTAAAAATGATGTCACTGACAACCACATAGCAAACAGACAGGCGAGGATGCAACTCCTCCTCTACCCGACCTATGACCCCTGCCATGGACCTACTTTTATGCTCCCTGCCCAACATGGGAGCTGGCTCTTCCTGGCCTCTGTGTGTAGTGGGGACAGTACCAGACTTCCTTCCCAGATGGACCACCTTCCCACTTGGACATCTGGGCAAGTGGCTGCCTCCATCCTCCTGAAGACGTCCAGCCCATCACAGCTCATACAGAACCACGATCCTTCGAGGACACACAGCCCAGCTCATGGGGCCCAGAGACCCCTGCCCCACCATTGGGTCCTCTGCTTGTTTTGACTCTGGGTATGAACTGGGGCAAAAAGTTACAGGGCAGCTGGGGTCAATGGCAGCGGAGAGCTAGGTCCCTGGATACCCATGTCCTCCTCACCATACCGCTGTCCCAGAAAAAATGCAGGCTGGAGCTGCTTCTCCCTGGATGCTAATTATATCCCTCCCATCCCTTGTGCACCCACCCACGCCCTGCTGGGAGAGAAGAGAAAGAAAATGAGAAAGGGGAGTTGGGGTGCAGAAACGGATCCCAAGATGACGGCACTGCTCAGAAGCACGAGAATGA